ACTCGCTGCTTTCATGCGTCTGATGCTGGAAATCACATACGAACATCTCAGAACGTGATTCCAGAAAACACAACAGCATCATGAACTCCTCTGTAATATGTTCAGATCTCTGCTACAGATGCCTCACAGAACGAGGTTAACTTATTTAGTTAAATTGCACACAAATATAAAGCTAAAAATAAAGCAGTTCACTATAATCTTAAGATCATTAATCAATGATTGTGTTTTAGTTCTGATTAAATGATTCATTGAAATATGTCTCTGCAGCACAAAAGCAGTCTTAAGTCGCTGGGGTATATTTGTAGAAATAGCCAACAGTAGTTATTAGTACATGTCCTACCATAAATATATCAAAACTTAATTTTTGATTAGTAATATGCATTGCCAAGAACTTCATTTCAACAACTTTAAAGATGATTTTCTCAATATTCAGATTTTTTTGCACCCTCAGATTCCAGATTTTCAAATATTGTCCTATCCTAACAAACCATACATCAATGGAAAGCTTATTTATTCAGCGTTCAGATGATGCATACATCTCAATTTCAATAAACTGACCCTCATGACTGGTTTTGTGCTCCAGGGTCAGATATTATGTCAGCATCTGCAGCAAATTCATATTTGTGTTCAGTTTGAGTCTCTGAATAGAGTGAATAATAAAATGAAGCTGCTTCTGTTTTTGAGAGCCTGATGGATCAAATATGATACTCAACAAAAAAACAAATGCAAACCGGGTTAAACTCGTCTGAGTGACTCTGACCGGTTCGGTGGGTTCCGCGTCATCACCGAATTACCCGCGTAATTAAGTTACTATGACAACGGCCGTGAGGTGAGGGGGGGGGGATTAATTATGACTGACAGCAGGTGAGAGTGTAATTAAAACAAAAAGCAACAGACGGTCAAACACACAAGCGGCGGAAGCTTCAGGTGTGTCTCCCGGTTAAAGGCGGATCCGGTTCAGCGGGTTCAGCCGGTGTTCTCCGCCTCAACAGTGCACCTAAACACTATTAAAACCAACTCTTATCAAAGCCAGCTCGGGTTCTGCGCGCGGACTCACCTGTCAGGTAAAAGCCGCACGTTAAACACCGAATGAATGACAGCGGAGACCGACAGAAACGGGAGCGCGTTCTCCCGTGACCCCAGCGAGGAGCCTCGATCAAATAAAGCCCAGTTCAGCAAAGCAGAGCAGCGCGAAGCTGAAGAAAACAGCGATTAAACGGCCGCCTTACCTGAGCCGCTGTCACCTGAGTTCCCGCCGCGTCCCACCTGACCGACCGCTCGCGCACTTCCTCAAGCTGACGCAGGCCTGCGTGCGCGCGCACGGCTCCGGTGTCTCGCGGCCGGTTCTGCCCCGGTGCTCCAGAACCCCGCCGCTTTAACGCGCGTCTTCCGTTTCCACTTCTGCTTCTGAGAACGAGTCAAGTGACAAGCTCTGAGTTTGCATGTCAAATAATAGTCCTCATAAACACTCGCCGGCGGATGTAGATGAAGCGCTGTGTATTTGCACGAAATCCAGGAGCCGCTCTGACGCGCAATATTACGCGCTTATTAATACTGAGAGTGCTGTGTGTGTGTGTGTGTGTGTGTGTGTGTGTGTGCACGGTTAAAGAGTGCTCCGCGCACTAATTTTGTACTTGATGTACTAAAAGTGATTCTTCAGGACTTCCTGAGTGTGCTCAGCTGGGTGCTATTTCGGGACACCGTGAATATGAACTCAAATGCGCTTTTAACATACTCTCTGAATTAACAAAAAATCACCATTTGTAGTAGCTACACTTGAACCCATGTTTCATACTCTCGAGTGCACTACAAGTGTACCATGCTGCTGTTATCAGTCATGTGTGATTTCATGTCATGTTGGCTGGTGCACGAACAGGTTAAGAGTCAGAAGAAAGAGCTTTAATGCTTGCACATACACGGAATCTGTTTTAGTGTCACACACTTCCAGTGCACAGAGACAACAACAACACACAGACGATATAATGAATAAGATGAGGATAAAAATACACGTGTAAATATAAATAAACAAAAATAAAAAAATCAATTGAAAAATAAAATAAATTGTATGTACAGTTGTGCTATATATAGAATAAGATGTAGGGATGTGCTAGAATATCTGTGACCCTGCAGCACAAAAGCAGTGTTAAGTCGCTGGGGTATATTTGTAGCAATAGCCAACAATACATTGTATGGGTCAAAATTATACATGTCTCTTTTATGCCAAAAATCATTAGGATATTAAGTAAAGATCATGTTCCATGAAGATATTTTGTAAGTTTCCTACCGTAAATATATCAAAACTTAATTTTTGATTAGTAATATGCATTGCTAAGAACTTCATTTGAACAACTTTAAAGATGATTTTCTCAATATTTAGATTTTTTTGCTCCCTCAGATTCCAGATATGTCTCTGTTCATAAGGTAGATTGTCTGGCGGAAGAAACTGTATTCACAAGCTGAAGATAGTGTTTCTGAGAGGAGAGCAGATGGAGAAGAGAGATATGATAATGCTTAGAAATGAAGGAGTGTGTCAGGATGAGGTTAGTGTTTAACAGCTCACACACACTTCTATTCACTGACTTCCACTTTGAAGTGGTTCAGTGTGTGTGTGTGTGCGTGCGCAAGTACAGGTTTATATATCCTGGTGGGGACTTAAACCTGACTACACACACGGTGGGGACCTAAATTGAGGTTCCCACGGGTACAAATGCTTATAAATCATACAGAATGAGTTTTTTTGAGGAAGTAAAAATGCAGAAAGTTTCCTGTGAGGGGCAGGTTTAGGGGTAGGGTTGGTGTAGGGCAATAGAATATACGGTCTGTACAGTAGAAAAACCATTACGCCTATGGAGAGTCCCCACAAGGATAGCTGACCAGACGTGTGTGTGTGTGTGTGTGTGTGTGTGAGAGTGTGTGTGTGTCTGTGAGTGAGTGTTTTTGAGTGTGTGTTTGTGTGAGAGAGAGAGAGTGTGTGTTTGTGTGAGAGAGAGAGAGAGAGTGTGTGTGTGTGTGTGTGTGTGTGTGTCTGTG